CAACAATGAGAAAAAAACTCATGCCGTACTGTCAGCTATAAATGCCCTTATTTGTGTTTTGATTAAAACAACTATAGACGATAGAGAGATACTGTAAAACGAAAAGTATCAGCACCACTAGAACAAGAAAAAAGGACTTTAATCGTGGATTAAAATCTATTCTACAGTGTCAGAGAATGTCCGATGTTGCAGATGCACATATACCTGTAAAAGTGAGCGACATAGGCCTCTAGATTATATTATAGTATCACCAGCACAGTTGGCAGACCTTCTGTGTTGACATGAATTATTTTTGATATTGTCATAACTATAAATTAACTGTAAATAGAACTTTGAATTTTTCGAAATACTAAGGATGTTCTTGTCCAGGAATAGACTACCTTAGCTGTATTCGGATTTTAGGGTCCTCAATGCTCTTCGATTTTGAATTTCATTTTGCCTTATCGACATTTTAAATGGTATATACTTTGTACCAGTATATTCAGAAGATTGACAACGCAATGTCAGAAAAGGAAAAAAATACCAAAAGACAAACAACGCATACAAAAAACAACATTGAACACTAAAGACTGAGCATCACGAACCCCACCAAAAACCGGGGAGATCTCAGGTGCTCCGGAAGATTTCAAGTAATCATCGATATAATTATTTCAGATTAAGAATAATATTAATGAAAAGACTGATTGAGTTCACACTGATATTTACAGAGGAGAATACCCACCCTCTCAGTTATCATTAATTTTGGGTTTTGTTTCATTCTCGGATTCTATTTTGGTTTCTGCTTATTGTGAATATGTCTATTTGTACAGCTACGATGATCACTGAAGGGATGAAAAAAGCAAATTGCAAATCCAGTGCAGTCAAACTAGTACTGTTTCAATTAATTAGTGTAGAATAAATTTAATATCATTCATGTAACTGAATTTTTCATCAAAACTGTTCCAGCACGTCACCGGTGCGCTCGTTTCTAATTTTGATTGACTAGGATTGTAAGTTTTCCTACCGAAGGTCGATGGTTCCTTCCGAGCAATCTGGCTTCCTTCACCAATAAAAACTGATCACCGCGAAATAGAACAATAATGTTGAAAGTGGCGTAAAACACCAATCAATCAATCAAACAATCATAAAAACTGTTGGATGCCGATATTTCGTTAACTATATCCTGTGGCTTCTTATTTCATTTGTTTAAAATAATTTTTACATGGCTTTGTCAATTTATTTTCGACTAATGAGTTCGAATGTCCCTTTGGTATCTTTCGCCTCTTTTTTACATACATTTGATAGTGATTGATTGGTGTTTAACGCCACTTTCAGCATTTCAGCAAAACACGACGGGTTCCACATGTGGAGCAGGATCTGCTTACACTTCCAGAGCACCTGAGATCACCCCCAGTTTTTGGTGGGGTTCGTCTTGCTCAGTCTTTAGTTTTCTATGTTGTGTTTTATGTACTATTGTTTGTCTGTGGGTCTTTTTCTTTTTTAGCCATGGCGTTGTCAATTTATTTTAGACTTATGAGTTTGAATTTCCCTTTGGTATCTTTCGCCTCTCTTTCACATTCATTTGATATATATATATATATATATATATATATATAAAAGTCTAAATTGAAAACAACGTTCAAACCTATGATTGCGTTGGATAAAAACCGCAATTTTTATACGTGTGCATGTAAAAATAAATTTCTTGGTAAAGGGGTCTAAATACAGCACAAACAACAATTTCCAAAAGACCAAAAAAAGTGAAAAAGTCTATTTTAACAAAACGCATTTGACTAACAGGTCGAACAACTGATGTTCTTAAACCCTGCTGACTGCCATTGGCGATTGCCAAATAAATTGATCACCAGATCTAACAAAATGGATCTTAATATTTATTTAATACCAAACAGAAAACAATAAACTTGTGGAAAAGATGGTATACCGCAAACATGAGGTGCAAATATTTGTACACCATATCCGGATATATATATATATATATATATCGCGATTGATTGGTGTTTAACGCCACTTTCAGCATTTCAGCAAAACACGACGGGTTTCACATGTGGAGCAGGATCTGCTTACACTTCCAGAGCACCTGAGATAACCCCCAGTTTTTGATAGGGTTCGTCTTGCTCAGTCTTTAGTTTTCTATGTTGTGTTTTGTGTACTATTGTTTGTCTGTTGGTCTTTTTTTTTAGCCATGGCGTTGTCAGTTTATTTTCAACTTATGAGTTTGAATGTCCCTGTGGTATCTTTCGCCTCTCTTTCACATACATTTGATATATATATATATATATATCGTACAATAATATCACATGATTATGCACTTAATTTATCAAAAACTACATAATCAAACAAAACTATTCGATGTTTCAAATTCTTAATAAAAGCGGGTGTTGCAGAAAAAAAACAGAAAATTTGTGTAAGGTAAAAGTCAAAGATGTTTAAAGGGTTTCATTAAAAGTATTGAACTCATACGTAAAGGCAGAGTTTTTTTTTATTAGAGTATAAATCATTAGCAAGTTTATTCAATTCAACTAGCTTTTCAACATGTTCAAGTAAAATCAAAAACATTCGTTTTCGCATTGAACATCTTTTTAGAAATATTTTCATATTTTCTATTGTTACCCTAAAAGTTTATATAACACAAAAGTTCCCCTCAGAAAAAAACGCTGCTAAATATTTACAAATCTCGAAAACAATGAAACGTTAATTTGTTTCCGAAATAAGATTAAAATAGAAATTTTATCCACTAGTGTTTAGTAACTTTAAGTTATTAAATATTTCCGTATTTGGGTTGCAACAACGGGAAATCTTTAATATTTCAAAATGGCTGTTGATATGTTTTTAAGAACGTCTTTTGTTTTAATGCTGTTAATAGTAGCAGGTTTGTACACTTAGTTTCAATAAGAATTTGACGACAACATTTGAAAAAGTTGACAAAGATTTTGAAAAAGAGTATGATAGAAATTTCCAAGAAATGCTATTGTTCGACATAATCAACCTGACTAAATGTCTATCGGACTATTTCATTGAAGCATGAGGGAGAAGGGCATAAACTGCATGAATTGTATGCTCGTTGAAAACGTTTTGTTGGAATTGAACTTGATTGTAAATTAACCAAATCTTTTATTTTGAATCTTTACATATTTTGTTATTAAATACTGACAACATGTTTAAGAAATAAGCAATACAGCTTCGTGTAATCAACTGCATCCATCATTACTTGGTCATTTCTTTTGACCTATATATTTAGTTGGCTCAAAGATGGAATTATTCGACATTGGGTGCAACAGAAGTATGCCAATGTTCACATCTAGTAAAACCATTTAGATTGATTGATTAATGTTTTCTTAACGCCGCATCAACACAAAAAGGCTATATCGGGGCGACAAAAAAAAAACATAAAGAAGATACAAATCAAGTTAGAAAAAAAGGATTACAACTTACGTATTTCAATCTCATCTTTATATACTGTTTAAGAAAAGAAACGCATAGCTCGGATGAATATTTCAAAATGCAAAATATATATTTTATAAAGTAAAATGAGACAGACAATTGCATTTTGGAAATTTTTACAGGTAAGTTTTAAACTTTAAATGCCCGTTCTTTTGATTTGGTTCTCTTTTTACATGAAATTTGCGACTCCCTTATAGTCATATGATATTTTTCGCCGCGAGATATGCTAACGTTTTTCACAAGAATATTGTGGTCAACTCAACTGTTACACTTTTGCGTATATAAGGACCAAGTTTGAAGATTTAATTCATCAAAATGTAAAAATTCTGCCATGCCAAGGTTGCATTGGACCTTGCTATTCGAAATATCGTCGTCGGCCATCTCCAGGCCGAAGTGTCCCAAAGTGACTTTAGAACAGATACCAGCAGACTGGCTGTACTAAGAACCGCCCGACTCCTGAACAATATCACTACATAAGGGTATTTGATTTATGCAACCGAACCGTTGCCGCAACAGCCGCTGGAGTTGGAATACCAGGATTGAGAAAAAATCAGCTCGCAAACAGTCTGCAATCGACTGCAACAACATGGCAGTAGACACAGGAGGCCGTTATTTGGACCCGTTTTGAGGATGTTACACGGAATAGAGTACGATGGTGCAACACAGTGAAGGGGGGGGCTGGACATTACGCAACTTGCGCAAAATCTGGTGCAATGATGAGTCTTGTTTTAAGCTTCAGAAACGTGATAGAAGAACTCGTGTCGAACTGTGCATGCATGCACGTTTTGGTTCCTCGTGTATCAAGGAGTGGACAGCTTCGGTGGCGGAAATCTAATGATTTGGGCGGCTATCTCTAATGTCGTAAAACGGTATTGGTACCTGTTCCGGGTAATTTAACGGTTCACAGGTCCTGGAAAAAGTTCACCAACCTCACCTTATGCATGTTTTTGACCTACAGAAGGAGTTATTCCAGCAGGACAATGCTAGGCCTTACACAGCGCGTTTAACTATGAACTAACTTGAGCAAAATAACATTAATGTGCTACCTTGGCATTCAAAATCATTGGACTTGAATCCTATTGAGCATCTATGGGACCAACTAGATAAACGTGTGCGCAAGCGTCAACTCCCATCTCCGACCCTTGATCAGCTTTGACAAATGTTGCTAGAGGAATGGCGAGCATTTCCATGAAACATCATTAAACATTGATATTATCCATGCCGAGGAGATGCATAGCAGTCCTAGCAGCGAGAGGTGGTCATACACGGTACTAATTTGAAAGGCACCGGAAGTATTTCAAGTTGTGATAAACTGACTTTTATTCAGCAATCTCGAAGGAATTGACTGTCCTCTTCTCAATCAAACACGTTTTGAGTGAATATCTTTATTAGTAATTATACGTTTCCATTCAAAATACATGTATTAAGATACTTAAAAATCAATTATGCGTTTCTTTTGATACAAAATACTTGTTTGATTTAGAATTACATTATTTGAAAAGTCAGACGTGATGCAGATACTAAAACAATTATTTTGAAATTTCAGAAAACCTGAATGCTTTGGGGAAATGTACAACAATACCATGTCATATTAATTACCATGATGATGATGGATCTCCTTATCTGGAAAGGGAAAGATATGACGTGTTCATTTCTACACATTGGATGAGATATGAAGGTAATTTATAGTTAATTGCATTTATTGAGTTATGCAGAGATATGTCTTGTGCACTTCAATGTGTGGCAAATATTGACCTCTCCCCCCATCCCTCCCCACTTCCACATTTGGACCATCCTTCTATTCTTCAATTCGTTCGTTTTTTGTTCGATTTTAAGAGTATCAGAATTTAACTTTTCGTTTGTTTGAAGATGTACTTAGGTGAGGTTTAGGAATTTGTGTCAGATTTTCGGACTCTTTGGTTTTTTTCCCTACGATACAGGGTAAAATATTTTGCCCCATAATACCTATTTTTCTTTTCATATAAGACTTCAATATACAATTATGGCCCGTAGAAAAGGGTGAATATCCAAAATCGTCAACTTGAGAAGGTTATTTCACTAAGGGCACAGGAAGGCGTCACTGAAAAAATTAAAATAGCCCTTCATGACGTCATAATTACTTGGACTATTAACTTACTGTATAGTAATAAACACAAGTCAACGTTCGAAAATAAATTTGTGTTTTAGAATTTCTCGTATGTATAACAAAGGTAGAATCTTTTTGTAAAATATTGATGGCCCTGAAACGGACCGTTTATAAGAGATATTATCGGCACTAGACGCATGGCCAAAGCCTTGTTTCCTCAACACTCGATGTGCTTCCTGTAGAACGTGGACGTTGCTATTTTGTTTACTTACGTTTGTGACGTCATTTTCGTGAGATATAGCTCGTGTGCAAATCAAGAAACTTTAAAAGTTATTCGCCGGTGAATAACAGGGTTATTCACCGCTGGTGTAAATTTTTATGGTTATTCGTCCTTCCTTGCAATTAAATGAAAATTAATTTCATGATACGTGATAACGTGTTACCCAATATAATTCTTGATAATATATGTAAGGTATAATAATGGCTCATATATAGTAGGTCATTTACCAAAATTTAAGCAGATTCTAGTTTTTTTTTCTTTCGATTTGAGACCCAAATAGTACCAATGCAAATATAAGGTAAAAGTCCGAGTCAGCCTTATCCAGCCATTTTTTTTTTAAACAAAATATCTCGAAAAAGAACTCAATAACCTATCAATATGTTTAGCTTATTTTAATCTTAAACTAATGCTCTTCCGACTTATAGTATCAATTTTTAGATCTAGATTTTTTTCTTGTCACCTAAGTACATCCTTAAAAGCCCTAATTTTCATTGGTCGGAATTGCCAATCCAGTTTTAAAAAATGTTTTGCCTGTACATTTTGGAAATTCAGTTCGTTGAAAAGTTGAGTTATGGTTTCTGTATCTCTTGTTTGGTCAATTCCATGCGTGAGATTTGTCACCTCCGGTCTGGTTATGATTAAATCTGCTTCTGTTATTGTCTTTTTCTATCAGTTTTCCTCAAATCAAGGACTTCAAACATGGAGAGAGACTCCTTCAATATATGTTGAAAAAGCATCTGTACATGTCTGTCATAAACCATTAAGTGATCATCTCTTTCATTTCCTTCTGATATATTCTAAATCAGGGATAAGTTCGATATTTTCTTTTTAAACTATGTATAGTCATTTACATATATGAACACATGAACAGTATAGTCGGTTTCCGTTCAATGCTTTATATACCAATCGATTTATAAAAACACTTGTATAAACATGTTTCAGAGACAAAAAAAAAATTATGAATATATGAATGAATTTAAGGACGCACAGATATAGAAGAAAAGGTTGCTTTTTAGAAATATGTTATTACAGGAAAGAATCAATAAACGATACCAGGTTGTGTTTTTATTCAGTACAGAAATATTTAGAAAAAATTAAAATATAACAACCTATTTCATTGCATGTAACTGGTAATTTTTTTTTTTAGGTTGTTATTTTAATTCCTCGTATACAGACACGAACAACATGAAACAACTAAAATACAATTCACCAGGTCGTTGTTCAATAAAATGTGAATCGTCTTCATATTTCGGCGTGAAGGTAGGTTATAATTTGTAAATGTTGTCAATATTAACAAAATTAATCAAACCACGTAAACGAAATCTGTTTTGCGCATATCTATAGCTTTTTGTAATACTAACGAATGTTTCTATCTTTTTTATGGTTCAGTGGTTATATATCATGTATATATTAAATTTTATTTCTACTATTAGCAGCATTAAGGTTGCATTTCTGTAAATACAGACAATGCAATTTCCCAGATTAGATCCTTTTATGACTAAAACTGTACCACTTTTACGAAAGTTTCGTAAAAAATGATATTCTAGAATAGAAAGCTCATATGCACTACAATTTTGTTCAAAGGTCAAAATATAGGGCTGTGCGGCATATTTTCAACAATTATATGCCCCGAACTTCTAAAAGTTTAAACATATACAAAAATTCTGTACTATCCCTCCCTTTAGTTTGGGTCTTCCTCAGAATTCAAGGCGACCGCTATTTATGTTTATTTATAATATTTTTTGGGTAATGTTCCCAAGTTATGTCTCAATGAGATGAAACATAGAGATCATATCTGGGAACCAGTATGTAAACAAAATAAAATATCTATGAATATTATATATCTCCCCAAAAGAGGCGTGGGTTGTGTAACAGCTGTATTTACAAAGTGCAACCTATAGCTAGAAACGTAGTTTTGGATCTTTATTTTTTTCGACAAATTGTTTAAGTTGCTTTTTTCAATTTCTGAATCCGTGCCCAAGCTTCTTTATATGTAAATGGTTGAATGTGTGCTTTTATCCAAAATATAGCCATTGCAAGTGTTGCTTTTGATTTACTCAAAAGTAATAAAAAAGATAAAAAGATATATCTCATTGAGTTTATTTGTAATGATTTGATACATTTTGCACGTTTGATTTTAAGCTAAATGTTATTTTTCGATCTTATGGCTATCAGTTAATATACAAGACATTCTTGTTTTCTTACTTACGGACTTTTATCGTCTGCAGCTATTCGTGTGTGACAGTGGAGCAGAACCCGGTTATCCTTCTGGATAACTTAATTTTGTGTGTAGTTTTATTTGGGTGTATGTATGTGACTTGTCGTCCCCTAAATCTCTTAAGTAAGTGCCGAGATTTTATAATAGGAATGTCTCCCAATAATCAATAATTTCTTGTTCATTTTATGACTTCAACAATAACTGAGTTATATAGTAAGTACTTGGATGTCAGTCGTCACGTGTCATATGCATCGTGACATAATTCTTTACTGTTAGAAAAATCACGATTAACCCATGCTATGTCCCCCATGCTCCAATTTTCCACCTTTTTCTTTTTCTACATGGTCAGGATTTGCGCTCGACAAATGAAGCCTTTGATTTTTGTAAGTAATCACGTTTAGCACCTCTGTGTTGACATAAATTATGAGAAAAACTTTAGGTTTTCGACCCCGGAAATAGATTACCTTAGCTGTATTTTGCAAAGTAGAAAATGATAAGTTTAATTTTGAAGCTACGCCAATTTGTATTTAGTTACTATGATGTTGGTTTTTTTTTCAAACACGTATTTGTTTGCTTTGTTGGGTTGCTAACTTACCTAAATCTTTTGAATACTTCACTTTTTATAATTTAATACGTTATTATCCAAAAACACGAGATGATCGTATTAGACACGTTAAAATTTGGCCATTAGCTCAATATGTTGAAACATACTTGCTGTTCGGTGTGAGCCAAGGCTCCGTGTTGAAGGCCGTACTTTGACCTATAATTATTAACTTTTTATACATTGTGACTTGGATGGAGATTTGTCTCATTGGCACTTATAGCACATCTTCGTATTTATGTTGTTAATATAGAACATCTTTTATTTTAATAGATGAACACACGCGTGTGTTTAGGAGATCAAAATTGGTCAAACATGAACACTAGTAAAATCTGTAACCATTCATGTACAGATCAGTGGACGAATGCTACATGTGGATCAAAAGACAACTGGTACTTTGATGTGTATAATCAGATGAAAGGTAACATAAATCTAGATTAGTTATAGGAATACCGACAGGAATTGCAGAATATAACATTTTTCATTAACAAGTTCACATTTAAGAAAGATTGACGACTCCGAAATTGTTTGGGTTTTTTTTTTCAAGTAATGTGGCACCCTTATTCAGATTTGTATGTTTAAAATCGTTACTCAAATGGTGCATGAGGTTGACAAGTTGTAACCAGGCGTGCTACATTGTAGTTACTTCATACTGTAGATTCATTATATTCATTTGAACCAATTTTCGTATCTTTGGTTGGTAAAGATAAACGACGAATTAAAATGTTCCACGAATTGTAAAATTCTCATAGGGTTCTATACAAACCTCGAAATCAAGTATCAACGAAAATACAATTAGCATTATAAAACACATATCCAGTCAATCACAGAATATACAAAGGACGAACCAATTGTCAACTGACATAACCAAAATTCACACAATTAACATCAAGCTCCTGGTTTTGATTTGCATTATGTATTTTTCAAACATGCTGTGGCATAATGAGAGTAATTTGTAAATCATAATTCGAAGAATGACTATTAATGATATGGCCTAAAATTATACAATATCTGTTTACCCTTGTATGGACAGTTATAACTTGCGCTCGTCTTGTTTCTGATATTTTAATAATCCATACTATATTTAAACTTATTGTATCGAATATGAGCAGTTCTGTGTAATTTGTAAATCCACAATTGATGGAGCAGGAACCCGACGTATTTGAGTACAGATTTTGTTCACGTTTGACCTGAATGAGACTTTATTATCGGGCAGAAATGTTAACAAGTTGCCATTTGTTACCTAGCAACAATCGTGTTATTTTCAATAAATTATCTATACAAATTGGCAAAACAAAGTACAGGCAAACCTGCCTTAATGGTCACCTCGTTTTACCGGTCACCTGCCTCTAACAGACACTTTCAGACCCTCCCAAACGTTTTCTCTATATAATTGAGCGCAAATCAGCGGTCATCTGTCTACCGATTGTCACCTATGTGTTGCATGAAATCTTCATTTCAACTTTTGGTCATTTTAATGTTTTTAACTATCGAAATAATCATGACGAAAAATTTACATGATATATGTGTTCAGTATAAAAAAAAAAAAAAAATCGAAATCAAAATGAAAATTGCAACCCGTTTGTAACCGACCGAGATTCCGCAATAGGAGGTGAATTCGTGAATAAATTAAAAGATGATTACAGAAAACAGTAATACGTCCGAATAAAATGCAATACAAAACTCTAGGTATCAGAAGCTTAATTAAAAAGTAAAATCACAAAAATACTGAACTCCGAGGAAAATTCAATCGGAAAGTCCCTAATCACATGGCAAAATCAAATGGTAAAACACATCAAACGAATGGACAACAACTGTCATATTCCTGACTTGCTACAGGCATTTTCAAATGTAGAAAATGGTGGATTAAACCTGGTTTTATAGCGCTAAACCTCTCACTTGTACGACAGTCTCATCAAATTCCGTTATATTTACAACGATGCGTGAACAAAACAGACATAATAAATAAAATAGTCAAAATATGGGTACAGCAGTCATCACTGTGTTACAATATCAAAACAAACAATCATTTACAAAAAAGCACAAAAGCATCTATCAAATTAAAAACCACATTCATTGCTTTGCGTGTCGGACGTTAAGTGTGATTAAACTGATGCTTTTTCTTGAATTATTTTCAAAGTATTTCAACCAAACCCAGAAAATCAAGATGAATTGGATAGAAACTGCATTGTAGCTAAAATGATAGATGAAATCAATGTAACATATAAAGCAGTGTCTTGTTCCTAACAGCACACTGCAATTTGCATCACAGATGGAGGAGGTAATTTCATCTCCCTATTTATTCTACATTCATAAAAATTCGAAAATAAATCCGCATGTTCAATTAAGAACACAAACTAATAATTGAATATAAAACATAAAACATAAAAACGGGAAATGAAGTCATATTGAGGATATCAAGTTCTCTGTTCCAGTTACTTATTGTTAAACCGGTATCAAATAACAACAAGAAAAGATGCCGTTTAATGTTCACCAGTATGAATGAAATAGCAGTGAGTATATATATCTCAATGACAAATCAATCGAATGCGTCATTTCCGTCACAAAGCATCCAAACCAAACAACATAACCAGTAAAGACATGTACATATAAAAATAAGGAGATGTGGCACGATTGCTAATGAAACCATTATCCCACATTCACTATTAGCTTTGCATCAGTTGGTCAATGCTTAAAACCGTGTAGCAAGCTTTTGGTCGACCGTGGTCATAACAAGACGGGAATTTCTATATAGATTATCTAACAAATTTTAAATAAACTAAATTTATAAAGAAACGATTCGGTTGCTCTCTATAGAAAGTCACATGAATACATTGATGTTGTTAAACTGTTTGGTAGGTGGTCTATCTTTTTCTATTATTTCGAATAAAGACAAGGCCAATGAAACCTTTTATAAATTTTATAATGTAAGGCATTCAAGAATATTTTGAAATGTTATACATGTACTAAGGTACGATATTAAATTATCTTTCTAGGTACAACAAATCTTGGTGACATATCTAAGAGTGACATCAATTCAAATAGCGGATGCTCACTTCCTGTAGATCAATGGTTGATAATCAAGGATGAATTACCAAACAATACATTTGTTTGGACGCCCTTTATTAGGTCTAATGTACATATTTGGACAAATGCAAATAAGAAATATATAATACCACACAACAACTCTAAATGTCAGCTAGGTAAGTTGTCCCTTAATCAATCAATGCTTGGTTAGTACATTCACATTTCATATATTAGTTGTTTTCAATGATAAATCGATTTCAAGTCTATTTCATAACAAGACTATATAAAAATAAAAAGATGTGGAATAATTGCCAATGCGACACCTTTCCAACAGAGACCAGATGACGTAGAAATTAACAACTATTTATGTTTTAAACTAGAGTCTAGATCTGATTATCTGTTTAGACAATTCAATAAAACGCTTATTTTCGTCAATTGTTTACAATATGTTGCATCATTATTTTATTCACATCTGACATGTACTAATGTGCTTTTGTGAAGGTAAATCAATAAAAAGAGTTCAAATACATTATTTACAGAAGAGGTAAACAAGAACACTTTACGGCTTTTCAACATTAGTCTGCAGTGTATTGAGTTGGTGTGTACTGTACTTGATGAACATGGTATTGAAATACAACTGTTAAGCATGAACTATAGTATTGTATTTGAAGTACTGAGATTTTCTTACAAGTACTATAATTATACATATATTACTTTATGTATCATTTCCTAACTACATTTACTCGTTTTTATTCATACCAATATAGCAATTCGTTATTTGGGTGAGAGAGTCTTTCTATGCTTTATACCGTTTGAGGTATATTTCCCTCATATTCCTCAGTTGAATTCTACGTTCGTATACTATATACACAAATATAATGATATTCGTCACCGTTGTCACTAATACTGCATAGATGATAGAAGTTAATAAAAGGAAATCAGGACGTACCAATCAATCTGTTGTCATCGATATGAAACCCAATACAAGTAAGAATGTCATAGTTTTAAACTAGTTCACAAAGTTTCGGTATATAGTTTACTCTCTTGTGTATTGAAAAAAGATAGGCGAAATATACCAAAGGGATATTCAAGATCGTAAATCGAAAACAAACTGAAAAAGCCATGGTAAAAAAAAAGGACGAAAAGACAAAAAGTACACAAAACACAACAAAGAAAACTAAAGACAGAGCAAGACTGAAACATGATATTTTTACGCGTTTATACTAAAATCTTTGTTTAACCTAAGATTTAAACATTGTCCTGTGTACTTGTTTACCCCTAAAGTTAAAGTTGTGTATTTTAAACTGGTGGCAGATCCACTTTGCTCTTGAAAGTGCATTTCCAAATAGAAAGAATTTGACTTGACATATTATGGTTTTTGTAGCTGGCTGCTTGTATAGTAGATCGTCTATGTTAAGTCTAACACAAGAAATTGAACTAATTCTCTTCGTTTTTTTGTATCAAATATCGTATATGCTTTGCGATTATTTTTTAAGTTGAATCAGGATACGTCTGTATGGTTATGGTTAAAGGGAGCTAGCTGTAGAAAACATGAGAGTTCGTCGATCACTTGTGCTCATCTAAACCCTCAAACAAAAATCAAGCACACACAAGATATCAGCGTGCCAAGAAAAAAAATCAAAATAACACACACACAATAGTATAAACTAATTTTTAAAACACACTTTAAATAAAACAATCTGTTAAAGGTTTACATTGCAATGAACCACATGTTGTTGTGTAGTAGTACAGTTAGAAATATGCTTTATGGTTGTCTTTTGTTTCTTTGGCAAGCATCGATTACTAATTTTTTATTTTGATATATTATCAATTATTATGACCTGTACCTATTGTGTTGCGCCCTATGCATAGTTCATCAGATAGCATCTTGTATTGTAAATGTCTTGCTCGATTCGAAAAAGGTTTTTAGTCTCAAAAACTATTGCATTTATGAATGAGATGTGACTAGGGAAGTTGATTAAACTAAATTCAATTTTGTGAGGCCTTTATCTATAAGAAATGATTGCACTGTAATCTCATGTTTCTGGATTTTTTTTTTAGTGTTTTTTTTTTCATTTTTCTCACTCAACGGTTTCCATTGTTTAGCATTCTTTTTTTCCATAAAACAATCCAGACGCATAATTTAACACTAAAAATGTAGTTTTTAAAAATCACTCCATTTTTAAGCAAGCACAGGAATAGCTTATCTTAATCTTGTTGATTGTCTTATACTTTTGATCTATTATAATTTTTTTTTATCATTTTGGAAGAGATTTTTAACTTCTTAAACATGTTAAATAAAAAGCAATTTCTCAATGAACACTCCCAAAATACAGACACAACAGCACATAACTTTTATTACAAAAACATCATGGATACATACATATACGTATGATATTTATAGAGAACTATCAG